TGTGTGTGTGTGTGTGTGTGTGTGTGGCGGGGAAGAGGGAGCTAAAAACGCGCCTTGCGGGGCGAGCCAGCCTCTGGCGTGTGCGGTTTTTGCATGTGTGTGCGTGTGTGTGTGTGTTTTTGCAAAAACGCAACGCCGGCCTGGCCGGAGAGGGTAATAATTGGATGGGAAAGGCGAGAAACGCGTGGGCTTAAAAAAACCAGCCAACTTCCTGCTCCTGGGAGAAACTACCCCAGGGAAAATAAAATTTCTACGTTTCTAAAATAGGAGAAGGAAAGCAATTGAACAGTAAGAACGCTGCCCCTTCGGAGATGCAGCCGCGTGTTTAATTCCACCTCCCCTTCAAACTCCTCCGCTCTGAAAATTCACTTTATAAGGTTATCCACAGAGACAGGGAGGTTGCGGGGGGAGGAAAGGAGACCCAATTGTATATCCCAGCTTGACTTTGGCACGTTTGGCTTAGAAGTTAAGGACTTTTGTCTTTTGAAAGGCGCTTGTTTCCTCTCTCTGCCCCCATCCCACGCCCTCACCCCCAGGGACCGCGTTCAGACGACCCGCTCAACCCAGGTGCGTTTCCACAGTGAGGGGGGTGAAGAGGTCTCTCCTTGCAGGAGCGAGTTGGGTGGCGAAGGAGAATCGCAGTTAGTTTTTTTTCTTCTTTTTTTTTTCAGCAGCCGGAGGGGGAAAGTTGGGGTAAGAAGGGCAATTGCCCCGGACGGGGCTTTCGCCTTTATCTGGTTAACTTGTGGCTCGGGCCCTTTGAAAGGTAGAAACTGGGTTTCTTTTGAAGGAAGCTGGTTTGGGGGTGTGTGTGTGTGCGTAGCTGTGAAGGTAGCCCTTTGGAATTGCTGGGTATAATCTGGGATTTACACCCGCCTCCTCCGCTTCCTCTTTGCCTTCCTTCCCACCCCGCCATCCTCAAATTGGAGAATTGTTTCTGGTAGCCAGTGCGCAGCAGCGTGGGAATTCAGGGGCCAAAAAGAAGGGAGTATATTATCCAAGCAGGAGTTTTCTGGCTCTTAAGAAGGGTGCTGGGGGGGAAATAAAAACGAGGTGCTTTGTGTGTGTGTGTGTGTGTGTGCTGATTTTCAACCTGTAGGATTCGGGCCCGCCCACCCACTCGGGGAAATTTGGGGAGAAAAGTGAGAAGCCAGAGCCAGGAATAATAATAATAATAATAATAATAATAATAATAATAATAATAATAA